TTTAGTAGTCTGTGTAGGCTTGGCTTTGTCATCATGAAATTCTTCAGTTGTTCTTTGTCATGGAAGTATTTCACTTCTCCATTATACTTGAGAGTTTTGCAGGATATATTCTGGGTTGGAATTTGTTTTCTTGCAAGACTTGAAGTACTTTGCTCCATGCTCTTTTTGACTTGAGGGTTTGTGAAGAGAAATCTGCTGTTATTCCAATGGGTTTTCCTTTAAATGTGATCTGTTTCTTTTCTTTAGCAGCTTTTAGTATACTGTTCTTGTGCTGAATTTCTGGGATCTTGATTATTATATGTCTGGGTGTGGTTTTCATTAGGTTGATGTTATTTGGAGTTCTATATGCTTCAGTTTTACCTGAATGTCAGATTGTTGCCCCATATTTGGGAAGTTTTCTGCTATTATTTCTGCCCATATTCTTTTTATATCATTTGTATTGACTCCTTCCTTCTCATTGATGCCTATTAGCCTCACATTGTTCATCTTTGCATCGTCTTGCAAGTATTGAATTATTTTTTTCTGCATTCTAGTTGTTTTAAAGAGACCTTTTCTTACTTTTTCACTAGCTGTAATGGTGTCTTTCAGGTCAGAAAGTCTATTTTCACTTTCCCTCAAACAGTTTTGCCAGCTTGTGATTGAGGTTTTAATTTCCTATATATCACTTTGAACCTATTAATATATTCTATTTCTTTCCTAAATTGCTTATTCAGGGGTTCCATCATTTTTATATTCTGCTCTATTTTTTTAATCAGTGCATTCTTTAGAAGCACTTAGTACTTCTTTGATTATAGTTATCACCACATTTTTTAGTTCCGAAATTATTTCTGATCTGATTTCTTCTATACCTTTCTGCAGTTGTTTCTTTACTGCCAACGCTATTATTTCAGAGTTATCTGGCATGTGATAGTCTCCTCAGTGCTAGTGTCTTCTGCCGTTGTACTGGGTGGACTCAGGGTCTGAGACTGCATTTTGTCCCTTCTCTTTGTTATTTTGTATACCACTGTCTTCTGACCTTTGGTGTAGAGCTTAGATAGAGTTATTACCTTAGCACCAGGTCTGGATCTATGAAGTTCAGATTCCTCCAGGTGGCTGTTGTTTGGATCTGACTGCTGTGCTCCTCTTCTTCCTGCTGCAGCTGTTAGAGTTGAACCCTTTGTGTCTCTCTGGCAAGATGTTCTGCTCCTGAATCAGCTGCATGGGTCTTGCCTCTAGTCTCTTTGCAGGGAGTTCTGCTGAAGGGTTCCTCACTGGGCCTGCGCTCTGGGTCGAATGAAGATCCGCGGGCCCTGGGTGGTCTCACTCACATGCTGAGCCTGGACTCTGGGTCTATTCAGGATCCAGAGTGCCCCGGGTCATCTCACTCAATATTCAGGATCTAGTGGCCCCGGGCAGTCTCGCTCGCTCAATGGGCCTGCGCTCTGGGCCTATTCAGGATCCCGCGGCCCCAGGCAGTCTCAGTGATGACTGTTTTGCTGTTCTTGTTCACCTATTAACAGCACAGCCTTGCCCCGTTTAGCAGTGGTTTTAATTAGAAAGTCAGTCCTCACGTCATCAACGTTTGACACCAGAATGGAGCCTTACTCGGGACTGGTATCAGATGGGTACACATACTCATGGGGACACGTGCTCCAGTGTGTCCAGGTCCCTGGCAATCCTAGTTCTAAAGTGATCAGAAGAGTACTGAAGATTATGAGCATTAGGGTGTGAAAGTCCCTGGGCAGTCGGACTTCTTCCAGAAACATTAGCATTGAAAGGCAGTGATACCATGACCTGCAGAAAGGATCGCCTTTTCTTTTTAATTCTCTTCCTCAGGAGCCACTGTGCCTGCCACTGCCACTGCCACTGGGACTCTTGCTGCAGTCCATGCTGGGCTCATCTTCCGGCTTCTGCTCCTTTCTCATTTTGAGACATGGTCTCACTAGGTTCCCTAGGCCGGGATTGACTTTGTGATTTCCTCTCTCCGCCTTCCAGAAAAATAGGATTGCACGCGCGTGTTACCATTCCCAGCTTCCATTTTCGTTTTTCACTTTATTCATAGCTTCTTCAAACGCATATATTTACTTTTTGCTGTTTGAACAAATAATGTTATCACATCTGGGACACTATAGATACTTAGAAAAGTAAGACCCAGCCCTCGTGCCTACTTTTGAGATTGACCATGGCAATAAGTATTGTTGTTGCTCCGTCACTCAGCCCTGGAAGCCTCTTGGACACATCACGTACTTGATTATAAGGACTCTCTCTGGAGCTCTCCTCCTTGCATGTCTGCCTACGGAGCTCTTTCACAGCCCCCGAGTCTTTGCTCTCCAATCTCACTGTCCCCCTGGATGTCGCTGAGCTTGTATCAGAGCTGCAAGCTCTGTCCCCATAAGTCCTCAGCATCCCCACTGTCCTTCCCTCTTCTTCCCCCCTGCATGATCTGACTTGCTGTGTAACTCCATCTTTGCTTGCCTCAACCTGTTAGAAAGTGAGTAGGGAGTGAAATCAGTCTGGTTCGTGGAGCTTAGAATAGCAAATACCACCTCAAGCGTATGCGCTGAATAGACGGGTGATTGTGTTGTTGGTGAACAGGGCAGATGTGCAGACCCACATCCCTGCTTCCCATTCATGCCTGACTCCGGGCAACCGCAGATGACTGCTGCTGCTGTTGCCACTGAATTCTTTCCCTCCCCAGAATGATCTCTCTGTCAAAGACAAGCTGCGCTGGGAGGTTCTGTTTTCCTCCTGTTGGGCAATCTGGAGTTCATTCTGGCTCTTGCGAGCATGTTTGTGGTTACAGAGGAAAATGAATATTTCTCACCCAAATGTTGTCATGTCATCGTCTCTGTCTGGCAACCAGAGGAGCAGATGTTCTGTTCCTTGACCTCAGGCTAGTGGTTACAGTTCTGGGTGTTAAATATATTTCACAAAACAGCGTTTACACATGCAAAGCTGCTGTTTTCATTTAACTTTATGTAGTCTTGGAGCTCAGCAAGCTTTGGGGAAGATTTATTTCTGGGGCATTGCATGTGTGCATGTGTTTGTTTGAGTAGATGTAATAATCATACATGCATACAGAACCGTACATTTATGCCTCTAACTAGCTATCATAAAACATCATAAAACATGTTTATTTTGAGATCTTCCACACTTCGAAACATGACCAAAAGTAGCCCTGAGAACATTGCCAAGAACAAATTTCTTCTCTCCTGAAAGCAATTTTCAAAGAACTTTGGAAAAAATCACACTACTATATCCTAGCAAAGAGCTCATTCATTGCTCTTTTTTAAAAAAAAAAATTCAAAAACACTTACTAAATACCCGTCTGGGCCAGCTAGGATGTCCAGTTTCAGGAATACAGAGATGAATATGGAGCTTTGGGCACCTGGGGAGAGGCCAGGCGTTAGCACGGCAAAGCAGGTACCTGCTAAAGGCAAGGGCTGTGGCCCGGCTCAAGCCACCGCATGCTGGTTCTGGCTCTTCCCATGTCGCCAATCTTGACAGATCACTTCTGGGTTTCTTCTTCTGTCAAATGAGAATTGATTCGTGTGAGTTCTAAACCTGTTTGTCACTGCATACAAGGGCTTGGGGGAGACCTAAGATAGCAGTGTGATTCCCTCCCAGTGATCCTTTTAAGCGTACTTTGGGAGTTCCTCTGCAGACATGTGCTACTTTGTACAGTTCGGCATTGTGTGAGGTGATTAGTAAGGTCTGAAGATTCACTCTGACTCCTGGGTATCAAAGGGGAAAAAGAGGGGGGATGTTGAGAGAAAGCCTGCAATAGAGAAGCCTGTGCAGGTGATAGGCCACACTCGATGGCTCCAGGCGGATGGCACACCCAACCCACGGGTGGGTAGGGGTCCTATAGTATGCGTAAGGCATAGACTCAGAGTTTGGAGAATTTTTCTTCTTTAGCTGTCTCCACAGTGGAGTTCAACATAAGTCCATGACATGTAAAGGGTGACTGAAGAAAGCATGATCAGGATAAATTGCACATTAGTAGAAGAGTTGCTTTCTTTCTGGCTTGTAAAATAAGAATCCCACCCAGAATGTGAATTGATAGGCAGGACTTCACACTTCAGATCTGTAGCATGAACTTTAGGTTTGTGAAGAGCACAGTTGTGAGAAATGGCTTTTAAAAATGGCTGTTGATCTAAGGCATGCCTGACAAAGTCTTCCCATTGTGATTGACAGAAGAAGAACTGGCAACTCCTCCGCTAGATGGCATCATTCTTCCAGGAGTGACGAGGCAGAGCATCCTGGACCTGGCACGCGAGTGGGTGGGTATGCTTGGCACGGACAGCTCTCATCAACTTGCAACGAAATGGAATCAGAAGAAGCCTAGAGTGCTGGTGAAATAATATCCTGGGATTGTGACCGGTGTTATCTGACCTCTAGATCTTACCTTCAGTTAAAAGAACACTGTAGCGCAGCGAGGGTGAACCTTTTAGAGATCGAATGCCCACAGTGCAACCCAAAACCCACTTATTTATCCCAAAGTGCCAACACTGCAATTAAACCTGAATACTAAGGCTTTATTTAAGAAAGAAGAACTGCTATCCAGTGCTGTGGGTCAGTGTGGCTCACATGCCCACAGAGAGGGCTCTGTGCCCACTGCGCTTGTGTGCCCTAAGTTCACCACTATAGCTCTAGAGGATCCTCCTTGAATGACTGTCAGGCAAGGGCTGTTTCTAGGGAGGGCGGAGAGAAACCAACTTAGCAAATGTCCGAGTAGAGCATCCTTTATTCACCTGAGTCTCTAGACCAGACATCTCTTCCATTCTAACCTGGCCTGTGCTTTATATTCTTCTCTCCAGCCAGCTTTCAACCTTTCAAGCATAACTATGTTCCACAATGCAGTGGAAACATGATTCTTTGTTTTCCTCTCCTTCCCTTATTCTAGCATCACTTTGCTTGTTATTGGATCTGTGGGATTTTACTGGCACTGACCTGTGTATGCGGAGCAGTCACGTCATTGGATTGGGTGCTTTCTCCCTCGCTCTACTGCCCCCATCACCCATAGTTCATATTCATGGCTATTTTTCAAGATCAAAACATAGAGGCAGTTGTAAAAGTGGTTTCCAGTAGACTCTCAAATCTGTGCAACACAGGCAAGACTATTAAACTGTTTGTTATTTAAAATGACGTGACATATTTAAGATGAATCTGAAATGGGTGGCTTTTCTGGCAACAGTGTTCGAATGGAACTTTTAACCCAAGCGTCCAAGAGGTCTCCAAAGACTGTGGGAAGGCTTTAAGCACACTTCAGTCAGACCGTATGAGTAGGACACATGTTTAGAAACACACACATTATCTAGCATTTTCTCTGGAAAAAAGACTTTGAAAACAGAGGAAATGGTGCTATAAATAATTCCACAAAACGCTGAAGTAGACAAGACCCAACTGCCATGCACTGGCTGGCACGTTGGGCATGACATTTACAAACTGTTGGTATAATTTCAAACAGCTTGCCCTGTCCTAAATATGTTTGCAGTTGGAAAGATGTATTTTTGAAGCTCAGTAATTTCTGTTTTATTAAAGGAAAAAAAAATCAACTAAGTACAGAAGGCTTGATGACAAGTTGCAAGTGGAAACGCTTCCCACACTAATGATTTGCTAGCATGAAAAATAGGTTATTATAGAGGAAGTTTTTCTTGACTCCTTAGCTGTAATTTATTTTAAAAGCTATTTTAAAACAGTGAGACTTAAAATGCCAAGAGGCATGTGGGGGGTTACCACTACTTGCCAGACAGGGGAAATTGTCCAAAGATAAGTAAGGGTAAACGGAATAAAAACAATTCTGCTTATTTACCAGGGAGGTTTTTTTTCCTTTTGCAGAATGGAACTCAAGCTTGTTTTCAATCAAGTTGGCTGGTCTTCTGGAACTTAGTTATTTACCTCTGAACACATAGTTGCAATTGTAGAATGAAAGCCATTGCAACTTGGGAAGAGCCATATTTGTAAGGACAGACGTATTTCCCTATCATTTTCCAAATCTACTTACAGCATGGTACATTGTTCTTGTAATATTTCGAATTTGACCAAGGGCTTTGATTTCCATTTTTATGTTTTGCAGGTTTGTAGGTCATAAAAACATTTCCATTCTGTGTGTTTTTTTTTTAACACATCCATTCTCTTGTGTTTAATTCAAAGAGCTTGTTGACAAACATTGAATTTTAATCACTATGACACTTAAATATTGAAGAATAAGTATTAGTTTAAACAGATTATAAGTGCTGGATTTTTTTTTTTTTCATTTTCTATCCTTGAACAAATGAAATATTCAAACAATGCAGCAGAAGTTGAGATAGCACCACTTAGTCCTTGGTGAAATTGAAGCTAATCTGATTTCTAAAAGAGAAGAAAGAATATGGATCATTGTAAGGTCACCTTATCTATTAATTTAGAAAGAAAAATATGTATCTTTTTGTTTTTGTTTTGTTGTTTTGAGACAGGGTCTTGCTATGCAGTTCAGGCTGGCCTTGAGCTCTCTTTGTAGCCCCGGCTGGTCTCAAACTCCCAAGGATCCTCCTGCCTCAGCCTCCCGAGTGCTGGGATTACAGGCATGCAGCACCATGCCCAGCCTGTAATGCAATTTTTAAAGCAAAATACAAATAAATATACATTTAACTTTTTAAAATGAATATTTCAGATATTTAAACTTGATTTTTTTTTTTTAACCCATGAAAGGCACAGTAGAAGGAAAACCACATTTAGAGCAAATTGGGTCAGACTATGTTTAAACCCAGTTTTTGCCATTTATTAGCTGTGTGGCCTTGGCGATTACCCCCCTTGAGCCTCCCTGAGCCAGTAAAATGGAGATAATTGTGCCTCCCTTTAGAGTTAAAGGGGGTATATGATGAACACATGATCAATGGTAGCAGGGACTACTAATATTATATGATATAATATGCTTTTCTCCTTTATGATAAAATATGTGGGCCCTGCATTAAGGAGCAGTTGGAATGAATCAACTTATGAGATTTTATCCATGACAGCAATAAAATTCAGTAAGTGAGCATACATTAACACATACTATGTCTCTCAGGTGATAATTGTGTATTTTATATTCTGTAATTTAATTTACAAGTGCTTTGACTTTGAAGTAGGATGCATAGTGCCTCATGGCATTTACCAATAAGATGGTCTGTCCTTTTCAACTTTCCTCCAGAGGAAAGTTGACATTATCTGGGTTCTACCAGAAAGTAGAAAGGTAAGTATTGCTTTTATTTTTTAAATATCCCTAACAGGGTGAATTTAAGGTGTCAGAGAGGTACCTCACCATGAATGATCTGACCAGCGCCGTGGACGAGAACAGAGTGAAGGAGATGTTTGGCAGTGGCACGGCCTGTGTGGTCTGCCCAGTTTCTGATGTACTGTACGAGGATCAGGTGAGACGACAGGTTCATCTCCTGCAGTTTCCAAACATTGGCCTGGAATTTAGTTTTTATTATGTATGAATGAAATTCTCCTTGGACCCGGGATGCTGAGTCGTCTTACAGTGTGCTAGCATGACAGTTTGGATTGTTTGCCTGGACAAACATGTGCCGGCTCATAGCTTCCACCGTTACAGTGATTTCAAGTGAGTGGCAACATGGACTGAACTTGGTGTTCTCTTTGCTGTCACATTGGCTTCACCTCAATGTAGGCAGGAGAGCTGTGCCAATAGATTAGCTTTCAGCTTTCTGATTTTTCAAAAGTACTTCCAAGATACTGGATTAGGATTGGAAAATTATTTTGGAAAATGCACTTGAACAGATTATTATTATTATTTAGACTGCTTTACAAAAGTTTTTCACTTGGCATAACTAGTACCTTTACTAAAATATTCCAGAAGGATGGGGCTGGTGAGATGGCTCAGTGGTCTAAAGCACCTACTTGGAACAAGCTAAGCTATGCAAAGCAGAGGGACCACGGTTCAATCCCCCAGCACCACATGCCAGCTAGCCCCGCCCCCTGGTGGGCTGAGCTGGCCACACACACACACACTAAATAAATAAATGTTTAAGAAACAAAAGACAGTTAAAAAATAAATAAATAAATAAATAAAAAAAAACTTTAAAAATAAAATAAAATATTCCAGAAGGAACTCAAGGTTTTGGTTGCAAGATGCGTTCTCTTAGTGAAGTTCTCCGATTTTTATATGTAGTGTATTTCAAGTATCTTGTCAATTTTTGACTTTCCCTTTAACAACAAAAGTCTGGTACTTCGGATTAACATCAATTAATGCCCCTGCAAACTCCCCGAGCCTTAGTTTCCTCAAAGTAAAAGAGGGTGCTGTGCCTCCCCTTAGCATGCAGAGCCTCATGGGAATTATTCTTCCAAGATGAATTAGCTTAAATGATTCACGTGAAACACACTAGTGTCTGAGTTCTGCATGCCAATCATTTGGTTTCAGCTGATCACATCGATTATCCTGAAAACTTTAATGGTGGCTGGTTCATTACTTTAGGTTTTTTTCGTTTATGTATTTGATACAGGGTCTCACTACCCAGCTCAGACTCATAGTGCTCCTCCTGTTTTCAGCCTCCCCAGTGCTGGGATTACAGGCCTGTGCCACCATGCCTGGACTCGTTCAGCCAGCTCAGCGTGCCCTGGGGGCAGAGCTGGCATGGCATGCAGGACTGGGGATTGAACCCTGGTCCTTGTGCTTGCCAAAGCCGGCACTTAGTCTACTGAGCTATCTCGCCAGCCCTTGCTCTAGGTTTTAACATTTATTTCAATGGATTGCTCTGACATAATTCCATCTATAAATTGGTTATTTCACAGAATTTTTGCTATTTTTCATCAATACCAGTATTTTATTATGATAATATCTACACTATGTTACCTGTCTACTTTATTAACTGACATTGTCATTAGGTCAGATTTTAGTTTCTTTTCTTTTCTTTTTTTTTTTGGCGGAACCGGGGATTGAACTCAGGTCCTTGCGCTTGCCAGGGAAGCGCTTATTCCACTGAGCCATCTCCCCGGCCTAGCTCAGATTTTTTTAAGCTTCAATTTTTATTTCACCTCTGGAGATAAGTTTTTAGAGTTTAATGGTTCTGTTTTAGGAGCTGTTTAGAGCCAAAAAAGTACATCTAATTATCTCATTATCCTGTTACACTAAAAGATCTAATAAGTTTGAGAACATAGACTAACTAGTAAAATCAAATTATCAAAAGCCCACAGCCAGTGAGGCATGCGTAGACACGGCACAGATAGAGACTAGGAACATGGAGTCTCTTTCGGCCATGAATTTAGCTGTCCAGGGTTGTGGAGGCTTTTGGAGGTCTGGTGTATACCTAGGATAGGAAGGGAGCCCCTTCTGCGAAGGTGTGGACTTGCCCAAATTCATGTGCCCAAAATGACTTGCTGTAATTTGCTACAGAGTATCTTTGCATCCTTGTTCTTTGGTTACAGGGTTAGAGGCAGAGGACAGTGCTTCATCCTTAGGGTTTCTCAGAATTTTAGAAGAGTCCAGGCTTTTATTCACTTCATCATTACTTTAGGGCCCCCTGTCTCATTGATTTCTCAGATCAGCCTGAAGACTAGAACACAGTCCATTCATGTCCCAAATTTAGTTGCTAGGCAGTGAACTGCTTGTCATCAATTAGCATTCATTCCAGTTCAGAATAGCAAAGCATCTTTGCTGTCTGCATAATAAGCAGGTAGTATGCATAATAAGCAGGTTACAGTGCCATTCCTTATTTCGGGGCAATTGCCTCAATATAGTAAATCGCCAGATGTCTTCTCTGTCATCATTCTGCAGGGTGAATACTCTCAAATTATCTCAATTCTCTTTCGTAGATGATACACATTCCAACGATGGAGAATGGGCCTATGCTTGCAAGCCGTATCTTGGAGAAACTGAATGATATCCAGGTAAAGGTGTTTTTTCTTTGTAGATATAACCCAATGCCTGGAGGTGTAGACCAGTGGGAGAGCACTTGCTTAGTATGCGGAAAGCCTTGGTTTTTTCCCACCACCAAAAAATAAAACAAAAATACCTTGTTCCATTGGGGGCTTAGAACGAGATCGTATTTCCATGGAGAGCAGAGGGTAAATATATTAATTTGAGATTAGCAAAGTTAAGAACAGTGTTCCTGCTGTGTGTGGGCATGAGCCAAAGTGAAAAAGAAGGTACAGAGTTTAAAAGAGGAAAAAGAAACTCTTGTCAGGGACTCCAGATTACTTAACATGTAAAAAAATGAATGTAAATTGTTACAACATTCAGAAATCTCATTAAAAATGTAGTATTTTTGCTTTAAGAACCTTGAAAGTAGAGGAAAACCCAGGAAGAAAATAATGACCTGTGATTCTAAGGCTAAGAAATGAACCACAATTATCTTGGAATGTCTGTATTTTCAATGTTTTGTAACTTTTATCCTTCAGATCTCTATTTTCCCCAGCAGAGTAGATTCGTATCATATGTAATTTTTGCCTATTTTTTTTTAACTTAAGAGTTAAACTCTTAAATGTTCTTTATCTCAATAACTAGTTTTCTCAATACCACTTAATCAGTTGAATTCAGACATGTTGGTGTACCATAAATGTTTAAAAAAAATCATATCAGTGAGCATTTCTGATGTTGGTGTTTTTTTTTTTTTTTTTTTTTTTTTAAAGTATATTCCACTGTGCGGGCAATGGTTATTTTTAAAACTTTATTCAGTATTGTCTTGACCATGATTAAAAGATGCCATCGTCTGTGACCTCCCAGAGGGTAAATGTGCTGCAGCTCATGTGCAACTCCTCACAGTCCTAGCTTGGTCCTCCGCCAGTGTCTCCTCTTGGAGTTGTACCTGATTTTATTACCTGTCTTCGTACGAATCACTGAGGAATGGGGCGATTCTGCTTTTGCTTCTTGGCCAAGAATCGTTTGATTCTGAAAGCCTTGTGAGAAGACATGTTGCGGGTAGGAGGCAAGAGCTCGCACTCGATGGTGGACTGAAAGCAGATGAGGATTTTTTTTTTTTCTTCAATACTATGAACAGGACATACTTGATCATTTCCTTAGGCTCAATTTCTACCGTGGGTCAGAGGATACGCAGGTTTTTTATACCACTGATTTGTTTCACCTATTTTCTTCGGCACATCTCCCTTTGGTAATGTCTCTTTGAGTAGTTAAGCAGGCATATTGCAAACCAGACCGTACGGGGCCAGCTACAGAAAAGACTGCAAGTATTGTACAAGTTTCTGGAGGCTTCTGCTGAGCCCATATGTCCTCAGTGCCCATTGCTGAACATATCCAGGGGTAGCGGAAGCTCAGATTCAGAAGTCAAATACAGTTTGATCCGTTACATGGTTTGAGTGACAGCTTAGTTATGAAACTAAGCAAAATTTATAGTTGTTTGAGAAGGCAGCAAGTATCTAGAAAGTGAGGTTGCTGGATTGTTATAGAAACAGTATTCTTTTAAATTTACATAGCAACTTTGATGAAAAATTTTTACTAGCAGTGGTAAAAGCAAAGAATGGATATGGGTTTCACATTGCGTTGTTTTGTGGTACTGGAGATGGAACCCAGAACTTCCACACTGAACAGGGGCTTTTCATCTTAAATTGCTATATTTTGAGAGAGCGTCTTGCTAAGTTGCCTGGGGTGGGCTCAGACTTTGTTCTACCTGTCTGGCCCTCCCGAGTACTGGGCTTACATGTGCGCCCCACCAAGCCCAGGTGCTTCTGGCCTGTGAATCAGTGAGCTGCTTTATCTCTCTTCAGTGCAGGTTTTCTGCAAGAATTTTCTTTTTATTTTTCTCTCTCTTTCTCTCTCTCTCTCTCTTTTTTTTTTTTTTTTTTTTTTTTTTTGGAACTGGGGATTGAACTCAGGTCCTTGCACTTGCCAGGCAAACGCTTATTCTACTGTGCTATGTCCCTGGCCCTGCAAGAATTTTCTGTAAGCTATAAAGAATACTTCATATCAGAAAAAGAAGAAAAATGACACTGAGTTGTTTTTTTCTCCCTTCCTGTACAGAAACATAAATAAGTGGAAGAATATCAAATAAAAAGTGCTATCTTAATTTTCTGATTTTTTTTAGGGTTGCCTGAGTGAATCTGATGACGATAATTATTAGTTTTACTCAGATAAAAAAAACAGGTGGAATTTAAAATTCCATAATTGGTCAGGTATGGAAAGGTGTGGTCCTAGGTCAGAAGAAAAATGGCTTTGGTAATTTTCTTGAAAAAATTGTACATTTTAAGCGAGGTGTGATGGTTATAATCCCAGCTTTCAGGAGGCTGAGGAGAAAAGGTTGCAAATTGGAGGCCAAACTGGGCTTTAGTTTTTAGCTCCGAAAACTGAAGTGAAATAAAAATATAAGTATTTTTTCAGTTTTTAAAAATGTGTACATCTTATAGTATTAAAATGAGATTTGGGCTACCTCTTAAAGATTGTATGAAATAAGAAAATTTAAACTTAACCTAAATTTGTTTGATTTGACTGTGAAGCATTAATAGAAAACAAAAAGTAATCAGTAAGTAAAAGAAAAATGAAACCATTAAATTTGCAATTGGAAGACCTAAGTGGAGCCATTCAGCAGCTAGAATCATGAATCTTTGCTTAGGGAAGGAATTGCTAGGAATCGAAAGCAGAAATGGGACTCATTAACATTGCAACATTGAAATGTTGACAGATATCATTAGGACCCAAAACCATGACTAAAAGAAAAGCCTGAACACATAATTTTTTTTCTTTCTTTCTTTTTTGATCTTACTATGCAGATCAGGCTGGCCTTGAGCTCACTTTGTAGCCCAGGCTGGTCTCAAACTCACAATGATCTTCCTGCCTCAGCCTCCCAAGTGCTGGGTTTGCAGGCATGTGGCACCATGCCAGGCTCTGAACATGTAATTTTAAGGCAAGTTTGACAGCTGTTACCTAAGTTCTTAGAAAGCACATTTTGTTTAAAATGGTAGAGGGCCAGCCAGACAGCTCAGCAGATTAAAGCACCTCCTTAGGCAGAAGCAGGGGCTGGGGGTTTGATCCCCGGCTTGCCGTGCCGGCCCCACCCGCGAGTGTGCTGAGAGATTGATTGAGACTGGTGTGATGGTGTGGGCCTGCAATCCCAGCACTTGGGAGGCTGCAAACAGGAGGGTCACTGTGAGTGTGACCTGTGTAGTGAGACCCCGTAGAGCCTGTACTAAATACATTTAATAAAAAGTAAAATGGTAGAAACCAGAAGAATGTGACTAAAATGTTTTTGACTGATGTATTCAGCAAAAGAATGGAGCTGGGGACCTCGCAGTAAAAAAAAGGCAAAAAAAAAAAAAAAAAAGCCTCTAAAGAACCAAACCACACGATATAAAGGGAGGTTAAAATAAACACTATACATGGGAGCCCTTATGCAAAGTTTAAAAATAAAAAGGATGCGTATGAAGGAAGGAATGAGGAAAAAAATTAAACTTTTCCCTCTAACCTTATTACTGAGGCTAAGAAATTAATTATTTGCTTTTACTCTAGGAAGTGAAGTACAGTGGTAGGACACTAGAGTCTAATGCATCCAGAGTACCACACTGGATAAAGGTGCAAAGGATAAAATCTCCGAACGTGGAGATAATGCAGTGGATCTCCATTAACCACAAACCAGAAGTCTCGCTCCAAACTGTTAATTAACAAAAGACCATCCATTCATAATCTAAAACCACATCTTTCTTCTTCAGGTGTTTTGTGGCTGGGTGCATGGAACCTGGAGTTTCAAAATTATCCTCTTACAAGATAGCAAATTAGTGCTGTCAGCCAGGCTACCAGGGTTGTCCAATTCCAAGAAAAAATCATTTCAGTAATTACTGAGGAAAAAGTATAGCGTTGCGCCATGTTTTACATTTGATCTCTTGGCATTGCGTGCAAACCTAAGTGCTTTGTACAAAGTGCTCTGGTAAATTGAAGAAGGGAGCAGCAATCACCAAAAGCGAAAAGAAACTTTTTTTCATGATTCTTGCCAGTATAACCCTGGGGAAAATTCTTTTTAACCACAGATTTGCCTTTTCATTTTAACTTTTGTACTGCTGTGTTTAGATAAGATTCTCTGAGGTTAAGTATTGGTCCCATTTAGCTTACTATGCATATAGCTCCCAGGGTCTTACTACTCTACATGTAACTCCTAGGATGGAAACATTCCCAATGAACTAACTTACTTTGTATCTGTCCATCTGTCTGTCTGTCTGTCTATCTGTCTGTCTGTCTGTCTGTCTTTCATAAGGAAAAAATACTTCTGTTTCCTACTTAACCAAAGTTAAACTTGAAGAGTATTAGCCATGTTGTTCGTGTTATGTTTCCTCTGCTTCCGCTTGCTGTCCCAGTTAGTCATGCTCACACTCCTCCTTGCTCCTGCTGTTGAGTCTTCTCTCTGCTCCGGGTGTGCTCTGCTGTCTGGTGCCATGTGCCGTGGCTGTGCCTTCTTGCAGATACCTGATAAGGTCTTGGTCATCCCTCAGCACCCCAATTTTTTTTTAATTAATTTATTTATTTATTGTGTGTGTGTGTGTGTGTGTGTGTGTGTGTGTGTGTGTGTATGTGGCCAGCTCAGCCCACCAGGGGCGGGCTGGCTGGCATGTGGTGCTGGGGATTGAACCGCGGTCGCTGTCCATTTGCTTAGCTTAGCTTGTTGTAAGTAGGTGCTTTAGACCACTGAACCATCTCACCAGCCCTCAGCACCCCAATTTTCTAGAACCTTTTTATGACTCTCTGAAACAGTACTGCTTTCCTGTGGCCCAGATGTACTAGCACACTTCAATGCTTTTTCTTCCTCCACTTTTCAGAGGGCTGGGGTTGTCATCTTACATCAGTGATGAACTTTTAGAGCTTTCAATGATACAGAGAGTCGACTAGGGAACACGTGGCGTAGGTTCCCCACCACTGTCTTAGATCCTGAGTTATAATTAGTCCCACTCATGTTTCTTCTCCAAGGCTGTTGAAATGTTGGAATTGTTTCTTTTTATCTCTTGGGGTTTCACCATGATGTATTAATGTTTCTTCATCTAAAATAAAGGAATACATAGGATGCTGAGAAAAATATAAAAACAATAACAAAACATTGCTATTATATATTATATGTTGAGACATTCTAAGTTGAGACGGGGGTATCTTTTGAATAATGCTGTGTTGGTCAGCTTAATGCTACTAAAATGTAATACCTGGGGCGGCTAACTTTATAAAGAGAGAAGGTTTATTTAGCTCACAGTTCTGGAGGTTCACAGTCCAAGATCAGCAGGCCTATTATTTCAACCTCTCAGAGCAGATGCCAGGGACAAGAGTGCATGTGGAAGCAAGTGGTCCCATCTCAAGCCAGGAAACAGGCAGAGGGGCCCGTGGGCAGGCCACTCCTACAGTCTAGGCTTCCTCCGTGACTCATCTACGTGGCTGATACTGACAAAGGATCTACAAACTGTGATACAGGGCTTCAGGGTAAATCCTGAGGAGATCTGACTGACCTTGTCAGATACAAAAGTTATATTTCTTGTTATATAGGTCTTGCTTTATCTTGGTCTTAACCATCCAGCAGAAAAGTATAAAAACAAGGCATAAAGCCATATTAATATGCTGAGCTGTAAAAGGCTCAGTCAACAACTTCTGACATTGCCAGTCCTAAGGATAACCCACTACTATTATGGACTATTGGAGTATATTGGATTACTCTGCTGAATTCATGCACCTACAATAAATGAATGGCAATGGAATACCCATTTCTGACAAAAGTAAAGAAAAAAGGGGGATATAAATGAAGGACCATTTTGTAGTGAAAAAAAATATATATCTGTATTTTTTATTAATTTTATTGAGAAACAAATAGTAATGAGACAATTTCAAAACAGGATAGTAGGACAGTTACAATAATTAATACATTGCATATTGTTGTCTTTGTAGTAGCTATTCATAGTACAAGATGCAGACATGATATCCTGTCCATACACTATTAGTACAAATCTTTCTTCTCATTGAATTAAGAGACAGTAGCTGTATATCTAACCTATTTTATATATGTACATATACAAAATGGTCCTTCATTTATACCTCCCCTTTTCATTTAGTTTTGTCAGAGATGGGTATTCCATTGCCACTTAAATATTGTAGGTGTGTGAATTCAGCAAAATAATCCAATATAGTCCAGTAGTTGTAGTGGTTTATCCATAGGACTGTGTAAACCTCAAAAGTTATCTCTGAAATTGCTGGACTCCAGATCTTGTTCCCTGTTCTAGCAGTGCTTTCTACCACCCTCTTTGTTTTTTGTTTTTTGGCTTTTTTCCATAATTTTATTGAGAAACAAGTAGCAATGAGACAGTTTCAAATCAAATTGGTAGGACAGTTTCAATAATTAACATATTGCATACTGTCTTCCTAGTGGTTATTTATTGTACAAGATGCAGACATGATATCCGTATATACAAAATAGTTAGCATAGATATGCAGCTACTTTCTCTTAGTTCAGTGAGAAGAAAGTTTTGAACTAATAGCGTTTAGACAAGATATCATGTCTGCATCTTGTGCTATGAATAACTACTACAAAGACAACAATATGAAATACATTAATTATTGTAACTGTCTTAGTAACCTGTTTTGAAACTGTCTCATTGCTACTTCTTAACAAAATTAATATTTAAAAAAAGGATAAAAAGAAGTAGTCTGTAAATCTCCAGACACAGTGGATCTGGTGTCCATAATTGTTCTAAGAGTAAAGAGCTTATTTAAACCTAGATATTCATTGAATGACTATTGACTATAGAACTAGCTTTGAATTGTCAGTATAGAATATTTTTGTTTCATTAATTCAGTTTCACATAGTAAAATTCAAGCTTCTTTTAAAAGCAAATCACCTATTGCAATAACCAGATTGAGATAATGATAGTAAACAGTTTTTGAAAAACTAAAAAAAAAAAACCCAAAAAACTGCGATGCTAACAGCACCAACAGCTGTAACTTATAGACCAGAATTCCTGGTCAGATACACAAAGACAACAAGGCAGCGTGGCACACACTGTGACCCCAGCACTCTTGGAGGCTGAGGCATAAAGATCGTACTTTGGCAACTTAACAGTTTATTGAGACCTTTTCTCAAAATTAAAAAGGCTGAGAACATAGCTCAGGGAGACCCTGGGGTTAATGCCCTGTATCACAGGCGAGAAAAAAAGATCCAGAAGAGCGGTCAGTTTAAAATTTGGGGGCACAGAGATAAAATGCTGTTCAGCATATGTCAGAATTACCTGGAAGTTCCTGCGGACATGGACATTTGTGCGACCTGTCCCAAGAGCTTCTGATCCCGTCAATCTGAGAGGGGGCCTGGGAATTTCCATTTCTCTTACGTTGTCAGGAGATGCTGAGGCTGGCTGGGTGAGGAATACTCTCTGAGCAGCAGAAGATAGAGCTGTGGGTAAAGAATTGAGCTCATTTAAAAGACAAACAAAATATAGAAATAGTGATTAAAAGGTGTGCACTTACATATTACATGGAGGGCCAACACCACCTGAGAATTTGCTCTTTTATCGTTGTTGTTTTTTTTATTAACATTTTTGCTTGGTTTGGTTTTATGATTTTTTTTTCTTTTCTTTTCTTTTTTTTGAGACAAGGCTGAGTTATATTATATAATTCAGACTGGCCTTAAACTCTCTGTGTAGCCCAGGCTGGTCTTGAGCTCTACGATCTTCCTACCTCGGCCTCCCAAGTGCTGGGATTACAGGTGTGCAGCACCATGCTTAGTCAGCTGTGAATTTGAGTTCAGCAAAAATTACAGCTAAAATCTGTGCTTCTTTCCAGGTGTTTGGTTGCTTACAGATCTCCCTAAGTACGCATGTCATCATTCTGTAGGGTGTCTCTCCCTCCTTCTCCTGCCTACCTTCTTTTCCTCTTCTATCCTTATTTTTAGTATGAATTTATATGTTTTCAGTGTTCAAAACACAGGTGACCCTTTTGTGTAGCTTTGGCTGTCTGAAGTTTAGCCGTGTGAAGTTGCTCCTGCACTGTGAGCTGTTACACTAAAACATATTTTCCTGCTTCTGTTACAGTACGGAAAAGAAGAGAGCACCTGGACAATCCTAGTTTCTAAATGAGAACTGTGGATCCACCGTATGCTTCTGGAAAAGGCTGCTGCCCTCAGACTACGATAGATTTCTTAAGCTACCTGTCAGTAGTTGTGTGTAATGTAGTTTGTCTTATTTGCGTGTTGTAAGGCTGATTTCTTTTTTCCTTGTGCCAGAGAACATGAGTTGTCATTATCCGATGTTATTTTGTATACTTGAGTATAGTTACTTACTGTACCTTTTCCCAGAAAGATATTAATGTAAGCCATATCACATAGAGTTTTCCTCCATAACTTGAGTGCCTCCCTTTGTGCTTCACTCAGATCCAAAATGTTGAGTCTTTAGTGGAATGTGTGCTCCTCAACCAAGTGTCAGGTAGGATGTGTGTGTGTGTGTGGAGGCTGACTTATATTAGTTCTGTTCGTAATGATCTCTAAGATACATCATTATTATTAGGAACACTCAGAAAGTATTTTCTTTCTTAAGTCAAGATCTTGAAAAACTTGATTTTGCTGGCCCACAATGCATCTGTGCACCAGCCGACCTGAGCATGGTCACCATGGCCTTGTCCATGTAGTACAAGACAGAGGGGCGTATGCCTCACAGATCCTTGCATGCCTAATGCCTGCCACCAAGTAGGAACTCGGAATGAACAGACAGTTAGCTGCTACGGAAGTGCACCCTCTATGTTTCTATATTATGAAACCTCCTTCTTAGAATTGTGACTGACCCTGACAACTTGTAGTATTTGCCTCATAGTATCCTCATTTTCTGTGGACACCTGAGTCATTAGATGTACTGAGAGCCCGAGTGAGTGAAGCCTCTTGGAATTAAAGCAATAGCTGGGGAGAGAATTCATGATATCAAACCAGCCAAATGGAAATGGCCTGTGGCCGAAGTGAAGCGTTAACTGTGACATAAATCATCCGGGGGAGGGGTGAAAACCAGAGAGACATTCTGGTTTTATACTTTGTTTTTGTAGGTGCTCTTTTCTGTTGGAGGAGGATTGGTTGAGCATAAGCTTATGGCGGAGGGGGAGCAGTTACAGCTGTGTTCCTGCTTTAGGAGCTGACTTAAATGGGGTCTCCTTTCCTGCGTTATTTGTGGAAAGTGAAATCTTGACAGAAAACATTACCCTTGAAAGGTCGATGTGCAGACATTGGATTTTGGTTTTCCTCAGTCTTAATTCCTTTCATCTTGCTCATCATATTTCATTCTCTTTTCAGAGCAGGGGAACAAACATGTTAGGAGTGGGATGCACTGGAAAATTCTCCTTCAGGCATTTAAGAACACATAGCAAATGGGCTTTGATTCTTCTCCAGAACTTTTCACTGTAGGGTCTTGTTTTAGACAGGAGTGGAAAATTACAGAAGTCTTGAGATGAAAAGGAATGGCAAAAATATCTTTTAAGGGGCTTTTAATTGGTGATCTGAACTCTTAGGCAAGCCTTCTCTTTTAGGCCTGGGGTGCTTTTAGGAAATTTAGTGTTCTAATGTGATGCTTTTTGCCTTTCCTAAACCTTTTGACCTCATTCTTAATACAGCAATCTCAGCAAGACTTCCAGGTAGTTTTGACTATGAAATAGCACATGACAACTAGACTGATGTCTCTGAGACAGAGAAATTGCTTGTTTTCTGTACATTGTTTTAGTGTGCCCATTGTGAAAATTGGAAGATATTATGTTGATATGATTTCATTCATAAAAACGTGAGAGTGTGGTGAACCATTTCCACCACTCAATAAATACTAAAGATGCGCATCCTAAAAACTGGACGTTTCTTAATAAGGGGAACACAGTCTGCCATTCTCTTTTAAGTAAGAAGGCAGGAAATTGACCTTGATCCTCACTTGTGAAATAGATTTAAAAAGAACATCTGCACTCCCCTTTTTCTTGTGCACTATTTGTTTAATTACAGTGAAGTGATACAGTCCCATGATATTGCTAGACAAGAGTGCCACAGTATAACTAGGCAATTATCCATTCTTCAAGACTTAGTTATTGCAACATTAATTGATCATTTAAAACAGAAGATAGTCTAACTAGGAACATGTGAAGCTAATCTGCTCAAAATGATCAACAAATTAATATTGTTGCTGATATTTGCATAATTGGCTGTGATTATTTAATGTTTAATTGTGTTGATCAAATGAGATCCAGCAATTCACATGTGAATGACTGTAAATAGCACGGGTGGCAGTTGAAATGATAATGATTAACTTCTTTTCCGTGTTTTTTTTCCACCTGCTTTTCCCAGTTTTCACATTCTAGACTGAGTTTGTCAGCTTTCCCCAAATACCTGAGGAGAAACCAAGGCTTTAGAATGAAGTGTTCAGATGTGGATAAAACCAGATCATTTTGTAAAAAGATTTTCCGTTAGTTATTTGTTGTTGTTGTTATGGCGGCAATTGTCAAGGGTTCTGCGTGGATGCAGTACTAGAAGAATCAGCCCTGGGATGATGACTACCACCCTCCCTGGCTCAGGGAGGCTGGTGGGAATGAATTAAGTCAGCAGTACCTGGGCTGGCCTTTGCTTCCCAAGTGAAGAGGACAAGGGAGGCAGGAAGAAGTAGATGACTGAGAAACCTCACTAGAGAATCACACTTTTACACTCCTCAGTTCCTTTTTTTCCTCAAAAGATAGCTTTAAGAAATAAACAGATAACCCAACAGATAATCAATATCCACTCCCCTGAACACATGAGTAGTCTATGTTGCTTGTGCTAGGTTAAAGTTCTTCAGCTTAAAATTGAACCTACACATGTGGCCTCCCTTGCCTTAAATCTGAGCATTCCTGGGCGTGTGAAAGCCATTAGTGAGTGCCATGTGGTCTGTACGGTTGTAAGGACTGTATTAAACCTGCAGTTTCAAGTCTGCTTTAGGGGAATTCTGTTGTGAAAACAACTGCTCAAATGAGAGTATCTCTTTACCTGCCCCATTCATGCTCTGGCATGGTGTTCTTTTCCAAATTGTATGCTTGGTTTACTCTTTTTAAGATTGGAGAAAAATGTCATTGGTAACATCTGTTCACTTTCAGTGAATGATATTTTCTGAAATATTTAAGTAGCAAGTGTTCGTCAGATGCAACCAAGCGAAGGGCTCATTGAGGAGGGGTCTAGGGAGCCTTTTGTGACCTGGTTCTAAATGTGATTGGAGAACGCTTGCTTGTGATGTGGATTTCCTTTTCAATGTATATGCAAACTCTTACAAAAAATAGTAATGCTGATCAGTAATTTTAATGGACATTGTGTGGCAGTGTCTCTTCATTTTTGTTACACATAGAACTCGCTTAGCCACCTGTTCAGATGTCCTCCCAGAGTGAGACAAAGGGCAGTAAGTGTGCATTCTGTGTAAAAATCAGGGTGATTATAATTCATTTGCCAAAAATTGATTGAGCACCCAGAAAAGTGCATCTTGTACAGCCAGCAATAGGATAGGAAGTTAGCTTTAGAAAATAAATAATGTGTAAACATTACCTCATGAAGTTTGTAGTCTATTACTTGAACTAATTTTAGCTGTCAAAGCAGTACTTGTGAAGGATTCAGTGAAGATAATAAAGAGGAAGGACAGAGCGCATCTTTTATCGAGTGATGACGGCGAAGATTCCGTCTCATTGTTTTAAGGACGGTTTTTCTGTTTGCATCTCTGGCACAAGACTGCTCAGTAAGGTTAGTGTTTAAGTATAAGTCCACGGTTTGTGGTGTGATTACCTCCTGGTCTGTGACTTCGTGTCAACCTAGAGTGATTGCTGTCTGCATTCTTTTGGAGTAATGTTATGTGTGATACATCTTGTAGGATACCGTAGATTTGAACGTACTTGATCTTCAAACCCAGATAATAGTGAAATAAAGAGTTATCCCAGAGTGAACTTTTCTAGAAAATGTTGATTATGAATGACGCTGTTTAAACTATTAGCTTGGAGGTGATAGATCCAGCTACTCTGAAAATAACTTTCATGTAACCATGATTTTTCACCGCTTGAAGATTTTTAATAAAAAAAAAAGGCCATGTAAATATTGGCAAGAGATTTAATTTTTATCATTTCCATAAAGACCCCTTAAAATGCAGAGATAGAAGATAGTAATTTAGTTTTCATTATAAACATAATAAAAGACTTCTCTTACTTCATCCGGGGAGGTTAATCATGAAACATCAATAAGGTAACATCTGTGAGTGAATAATTTTGGGGGGTCAAATAGATGTAAACATTTTCTAATACATGAAATTTCAGTCTTAGCAACTAACATGCTATTTAAAACAGATTCAAGAAATTTGCAAGTTTTGAGTCTTCTGCCTGGAATTACATTTTTCATATGATGATAAACCCAACTAAGAAGACTTCAGATCTAAACTGCATAATGTAATCTACTATGATTGGTATGGCAAGAATTAATGTAAACTGTGGTGTAGGAATAAATTAGTGTTTCACTAACAGCTTTCTCTGTCTAGCCAATGTCACAGTGATTAGGTTCCTTGTTATCTGTTAGTGAATTATGGAAAACAGAGAAGTTGTCAGAAGAAGAACAAGGAAAGGTAGCAAAGAGAAGTGATGAGAGGGGGAAAAAAATCAGACTCACTTCTGTGGTATTCAAAAGAGCTTTTCCATGTTTTGCCAACCACTGGGATCCTCAGTCTTAAATATGTGTCAAATGCAAACAATGCCACTAGGAAGTCACTGACGCTAGTGGCCAGTCCATAGGATAGTGGAACGAGGCCACAATCATACATTATAATCTGACAGTTGTGTTAGGGATGTACTACTCTAGATCGCTACCAATTTGACTAAGCCTTTAGAACTGCACAGTCTATCAAATCTATTGTATCATTTCTTGATTATATTCTAATATTCATGCCCCATCGTGAAGCCAAATAAGCAACAAGGAATAGATTATGTCTATTTTTAGCATAGAAATATTCTGCCCCACACCCTTTTCCTTGATGGAAATAGGCAGATTTGGAAATTGGTTGAATATTATTTAGCTTTTACCTGAAATGTACAACATACTGCAGTTTTCTCAGACCAAATCCACATGGTCATTGGAATCATTCTCAGGGTTAAGAAATTCAAATATTCTTCTCAATTTCTGCATCACCCATGAGTTTTTTCAGGAGTGTAAGAAGTCTTTGAAGAAGGGGCCGAGGAGATGGCTCAGTAGGATAAGCGCTTGACTGGCAAACACAAGGATCTGAGTTCAATCCCCGGTTCCGCCAAAAAAAAAAAAAAAAAAAAAGGTCTTTGAAGAGTATGACTAAGCTCCTTTGAATCACATGTTTAAAATAAACTAGCTAACCTGTTGGCATCTGTAAATTCTGAAGATGTTTCCCTGGCGATAACCACAATGAATGACCCCCAGTGTGCTGAGTTAGCTGACACCAGAACTGGAGCCAGACTCTGCTTTGAAAGAACTTGTGCCTATTTATTATGGTGCCTGAGAGCAAATAAGTAGTTTGAGAAGGTTTTAAAATTAGAGCCTGTAAATAGCAATAGAAGATCAGTTTCACTGTGGAATTTGTAGCAGCTCTGATTGCCATATTCTAGTTGTGTGGTGATTCTTGAGATTCTCTAAGAAAATGTAAGTAGAAGTACACTTTGTAATGGAGGGCTGGCTTTCATGAAGAATTATTTAAAGGTTATGCTGGAAGGATTTAAGCTGGCTACTGTGTAATAATAGGAGCACAGAAAATACAGCAGGTGAAGGAAACTACCTCATTCTGTGAAGGTTTTGTAGAAGCACAATTAAACATTCTAGAATGGCTTTGTTGCCCGAGAGCCATCTGGTGTGAAGAGCCATATTTGTTTGTCTAAAGGACCTGGAGTAATTGTGTTTTGCTGGCAACAGATACATTCTTTTTTGTTTTCAGGTTCCTCATCAAATCTGTAATTATGCAGTTTCTGTCATCAATAAAACAACTAAAAGGAATGCTGTTTGTGTAGTCTTGTGGAAACTGGCATTGTTTTATGCATGAAATAATAATGCTTAATTACCATTTTATGATGTCCCAAGGTTTTTGGTCAGAGGATGTAAGCATACTGTGGTATTTTAAAACCAGAATGGCACTGGGAGAGTGAAAAGGAATTGGACATACCAAAAAAGACCTGAAACCATAAATATGTCTTCCCTTCAAACATTTGAGTGAGAAATACAAGGGACACTTCTAAATCATCTTTTGCTCTAGTTATGAATTTATCATCAGTAGAATTTAGCTCTGTCTTTTGAATTTTATACAGAATAATTAATGAGATTGCCTCTTCCCATTTGCTGTGCTAATGGGTGCACCTCCTGGATAAAATCATGCACCAACATGTGGTCAAGTACATTCCAAATAAAATGAACTTTGTAAACTGAAATATATTTGACCAAAACTTGGAGAACATCAGTAATGGGTCCCTTTAGCCAAAATGGGGCTAATACTGTATTATCTCAAAGCACCTGTCTTTGAGAATAAACCCAAATACAGATATATCTGAGGATTGTATATTTCATCTTCTTGTGTATGTGTGTTTTTCCCCACAAATGGTGGATTGCATACTGTACCTTATGCAACTTAGATTTAAATCCTTGTTAGTTGGATCTCTCATGGTCTGGAAAATGAATTTCCAGGCAGATAACTTAGTCCTTCCAAACTTCTTGAGTCTATGTTTTAAAGAGCATTTTAGTGGCTGGACCCCCTCAACCTGTGAAAATAATGTCCTCTGTCAAGATCTCGTCAAGAAGTTACATGCAAAAAAAAGAACAAGAAAGAAAAAGTGAAATGCAGACTATTGAAAGTCCCGGTGAAAGTTGTTAGTCTAGTTCTCTGACAGTGTCAGTGGTCTAAGTCCCGCAAAAGTGACAGAGCTGACATTTCTGAGGGTGATGACATGTATTTGCTGGAGCTTACATAATTCATTAGAGGAGACAGCAGTCTCCTCCAGGGTGGGAAGTGTCCTTCTACACTGATTTAGTCAGGAACAAAAAGAGAAAGGCAAAGATTTCCTACTTTCGTAATTTTTTTTTTTTTTCTGGTAAGCTGATTTAGTGTTACCTTCAGCATACTTTTCAAATTAAATGCCTGATACCCCTTACCTGATATGAGATCTGTGTTTTATATTGTAAATTATTTTATGTGGAAAGCACTACTGCAGCCTGACATTTGTGTTGCAGATTTGTATTCCTTTGACCAAAAAGTCCACGGCCCAAGCAGTCACTTATTTTTGTCGATAGTGTGGGCTTGTGCTCTAGGTATATCCATACAATAGAGACGATAATGACCGAAACCCAAGGTCCCTTGCTCCAAAGGTCATTGTTAACAGAGCATTAGGAATTTTGAAAGGTAAGAGGGAGCCGCGGTTTACAGTGCAGTTATGGGCAAGTCCAAGAACCACACCACGTACAACCAGTCCCGAAAATGGCACAGAAATGACAACAAGAAAGCTCGGTCACAAAGATATGAATCTCTGAAGGGGTTAGATCCCAAGTTCCTTACGCACATGCATTTTTTTTTTTTTTTTTAGAAAGACAAAATGTTTTATTTTAAAACATTGGAAAAACATTAAAAGACAAATGTTCATTATATAATCAGGAATATTAAATATATGGAAACTGTAAATCTTCTAAATGTGGTAGGCACTTCCAGAGAGCTAAATACTGCAAATTATCCTATCTTCTTCTCTAACACTTGATACGATGAAAAATATGAAGACCTTACTAATTATTCAAAGTCATCATCTTTGGGTTCAACTTATGCACAACGTAAAAGTTTGTCCAAGATGTTCCTGACACATGAAGCTTCCAGGTGAATTTCAGAAATGTTAACAAAAGTATCTTCCTTTTTTGCCTGTGAATGTTTGAGTATTGCTGTATTGTTGGCTTATATCCACTACAGATACTGGTTCTAGGCCAGCCCAAGGGTCTTCAAGCATTGAAGGCTTGAAATAACTTTCCAACTCATTAGACATTCTTTTTTCTCTAACACGCCCTGATCCAAATGGTGTAGATGTCCTTGGAGAACCCTGGGGGTGGGTCTGCTGCTGCCCTGGGGAGTAGCCGAATTGTTGCTGGGACCCCGCGGGGGACCTGGAGAAGGAGCCAGGCTAGCCGCCAGGGGACGGAGACCCGAGCCGGCCCCCCGGGAAGCCGCCGCCGTGTCGCGCGGAGAGTGGCTGCTTTCGTAGGGCCTAGCCCGGGGCCCGCACGGCGGCGTGTGGTGCGGACTCCAGTACCCGTCCGGAGGGGAGGGCGGCCGCGGTCCGCCCCCGCCCGGGGTACCCAGGAAGCTGCTCCCACTACCCCAGCCTCCTACACCCGGGCCCGGGTAAGGAGGAGTCGGGGGTCGAAAATTCGGTCGGTGCATGGCAGGAACCGAAGACGAGGCCTTCACCACCGCGTTCTCCTACCGGAACTGTCCGCACATGCATTTTGCCAAGAAGCACAACAAGAAGGACTTCAAGAAGATGCAAGCAAACAATGCAAAGGCCATGAGTGCACGTGCCGAGGCTATCAAGACCCTCATTAAGCCCAAGGAGGTCAAGCCCAAGATCATCCCAAAGGGAGTAAACTGCAGGCTCACTCGACTTGCCTGTATTGCCCACCCCAAGCTTGGGAAGCACATCCATGCCCACATTGCTAAGGGTTGCAGGCCTTACTGGCCAAAGGCCCAGGCTCCATCCAAGGCCCAGGCTCCAGCTTCTGCTTCAGCCCAGGCTCCCAAAGATGCTCAGGCTCCCAAAGGTTCCCAGGCCCCCAAGAAGGCTCTACAGTAAAAGCCTCTTATCTGCTGATGTAAAAACAGAAGGACTGGTGTGACCCCTGGGGTACCATCTGTGAGGGGCTGGTGTCCTGTGCTCTTTGTACAAATAAACCTGAGGCAGGAAAAAGAAAAG